GACCAACGGCTTAACGTGCCTTCCGAAGCACGGAGGAGCTCGAGATCGTAAATTTTTGGTCACCCATCCAATGACTGACCACTGCGAAAGTTGCTAACTTCAACGACCGCAGCCGAACGCGCTAACCACTTGCGCCATCGAGCTCCTCTAATTGCATAATAATATTTGGTAATTGTGGGAAAATACGTACCTACGTTGAAAATATAATTCCTGCGTTAAATTCTGACATAAACATATTAAAAACATAGATACAACATCACGAAAATCATTATTTAAAATGATTTTATTTTACAGAATGTTAATTTTTAACAATATTGTGGAAAAATTCGCCATCTAGAAAACAAGGAAAAGGAGTTTTATCTGACAAGACGAGCCAAGCAAACCGCAAGGGCATTACCTAACTTTAAAAATCGTTTTTCGTTTTTTTTAGAGCTTGGGTATGATAATACCTGATAAACAAAATTTTCGGAATATGCTGTCAATAGCGGACTTGTTAAACATCCGCCCCCTTACACAAAATACGGACTAAAGTTAGTCTTGGTTTAAACCCAATGTTGTCCATGTCTTCTTTTTAGCAAACAAAAGTCAAAACAGCATCAGTTTACGTGTAGGCTATTTGCTAACTGCTTTTGACAAATGGAAGTGATAATCACCGAGCTATTAAGCGATCCACTACTGCTGTATCATAACATCACTAAGATACTTGTTCTGAAAAGCATCGATGGATATGCAATTTTCTCTTTACAATGTGTATACTGTAAATGTCAAATAAGTTATCAAATAGACCGGCAGGTTTAACTTTAGTCTACATTTTGGGGTAAGGCCATATAAAGATTTAGTTGCATAGCTAACTATAGATTTTATTGATATCTGAAAACCTCTGATTGCGTCATTGACTCACTAATAATCATCAAAATTCATAGGGTATTTGCTAATGTGCTTGCCCCTGTTTCCAGTAGTCTTACCAGTTGAACTACTGGGAATTTCTTTCCCATGAGACTTACTGATAGTAAGACTTCGCTGGTGTTATATTTTCCCATTACTTTTGCTTTATCAAAATAAAAAAAAACTTAGACCTCGTTATTGTATATATATATATATATTATATACAGTAGCTTTATTAAGTTTCCATTTAAATAATCATTATATTGAAAAAGTACCAGGAGAGCATACATGATTAAGAGGTTCTGAGTATAATAATTTTTGATTGTTTTTTTATAAAAAATACAATTTTCATCATGGATCTGGCCTATGGATCTTCTGAGATTGATTCGTTTCCTCTTATCCATAAACTAAATCCTATATGTAGAATTTCCGCTTTTGTCAGAAAAAAACGAAACGAACGACGAATAAGGAATCTGAGGAATGTGTCTCAAAATCTCTATCAATTACCTAGGTCTACATTTCTTGAAGAGTCAATTCATATTAACAAAAAAATTTTTTTTTACAAACAAAACAGATCCTGAAATCATTGGGCATCAAACATTGGCTAATGACTCAAAGTGTCATGGACGAAGTTAAATTCTGACCTCATATTCGGATTCAGAACCCAAACATAAAATATTTGTGCAAAAATTTTACCCCAAACTGCGGAAAAAATAGACAGGACAACGGGACTATAAACAGATTGTTAATAATTCCAATACTTATTGTGGGTACTGGAATTATTTCGTTCCTTTCTTCTTTAGCTTACCTATTATCACTATGCGCCTGGATATCGGACTTCCTGCGTGATCGGTCTATAAGAGTAGTTATAGATGGCTGCCAATCACATCGAAAGGCTGTTAATGCCGGAGTTCCGCAGGGGTCGGTACTCTCTGCAACTCTTTTTTTGCTCCATATCAACGATCTGCTTAAACCCGGTACCTTTGGGTATGCAGACGAAAGCACAGTCGTAGAGAGCTATATATCGAATGCGCGTGCTAGTGCGGCCGAAGTTCAATCACTCCGAGAAGCCATGGTCAACCGCTTAAACTTGTCCCTTCAGGCAGTCTCCGATTGGGGCGATGCCAATCTGGTCAAGTTTAATGCTTCTAAGACTCAGGCGTGTTTGTTCTCCGCTAAAAAGTGGGCGTTTCAACTGGCCTCTTCTTTTCGAGGTGTAACCGTGCCGGTAACCGAACAGCTCGAGCTTCTAGGAATATATCTCACCTCAACTCTTAACTTCGGTACCTACATTGAGTCCAGAGCTCAACTGGCTGCAAAAAATCTTGGCATCCTCGTAATGGTGCGGAAGTACTGTATACCGGAAAAGATGCTCACCTTGTATCAAGCGCAAGTTCGCTCGTGCATGGAGTACTGTTCGCACCTTTGAGATGGTTCTGCAAAATATCAGCTGGAGTCTCTTGAGTGCATTGAGAGGCGTGCAAAGAAGCTCATCGGTGACGACAAATTATTCGAGAGTAGACTCCAAAGTCTTGAACACAGGCGAAAAGTTGCCTCTTTGTCGATTTTTTACCGGTTACATTTCGGAGAGTGTGCTTCGGAGTTACATAACTTAATTCCACCTTCACCTTTTTACCACAGAACCACAAGAGAGACGACAAAACGCCACAGATATACCGTACAGGTCCCGCAAACTCGTACTAAACGGTTTGCTTCCACCTATATCGTCAGAACAGAATCGGTTTCTTCTAGGCAAGTGCGTCCCACCTTAGGCTGCTACGTCGCTCTTCATCAGTCGCGTGGCCGTCAAGCGTAAGCCTATTTAATGTAAAAAAAAACCTACCTACTTACTGACAGTTTAGTTCAATGGTGATAGGTTACGTAAGCTCTCTTCTGTACCTAGTAATTTAATTAGATGCACCTGTAAGTAATGAAAAGGTAGGACAGGATATGCACAGGGGCGCATAATCATAATTAGCCCAGGGCGGGCACAACTCTAAATCAGGCTCTGATTTCAGTGAGAATGGTGACAAAATGCCCAAAAACATCTACTAATGCCTAGGTACTCTATATATTGGCATTTATGCTGAGCTGTGGGCGTCGTATGGTGAGACAATTATTATGCTCCAAGCTCCAACAACTAAGTTTCACGTGCCCTGGACCAATTAGTCCATCCCCTTGCAGATAGTTAAAAATAGATAAAAACTCTTGTTACCGATAGGGGGCTGTTCAAGTATTACGTAAGACTATAGGGGGGCAGGGGGGTCTTTGCTTTGCTTATTTTTGATGACATGGGAGGGTGGGGGGTAGAGATGGTGATTACGTCATCATCATCAATTAAGCCTTTTTAAGTACTGCTGCTCATGAAGCTCATGAAAGCTCATGAATCAATAAAAAAAACAGAATACATTAAAGGAAAAATGCATATAGGTACCAATGTTTACGTAAGAATGGGGGGGAGGGGTAAGAGCTTTGCTTACTTTTGCTGACGAGGGGGAGGAGGGGGTAAATAATTGTAATAAATCTGCTTACGTAATACTTGAACGGCCCCTAGGCTGGCAACGTGGCGTGGGAAAACCATTTTACAAAAATTTAATTGTATTTTGTTCAAAGTACCTACTACTTAGTTCTCTGAAACAAAACTATTCTTTAATTGTATACTTATTGCAAGCTCGTTGTCGCAGTGATGAGGGTTTTCAGTCTGTGGAACTTAAGCAACTTGTGGGTATAGTTATGAATAAATAAAAACTTTCCTAATGGCTAGTCAAATGATGGGCGACCATTTTCTATCACAAACTATTTCATGCTTCGGAACCCACAGTAAGCTTTTTTTAGTGTGTATGCTGTTGTTCGCAGTTGACCTTTACAGCTTCACCAGGTTTGGGGACGGCGAGATCCTAAGGGGACCTAAAGCCGAAAATTGTCACAGCTGCATCTTTAGTCGTTAGCCCCAAAAAATCTGCTCTAGGCCCATCATGTGCTTGTCTTGATTATGGTCTGTTCTCCTTAATTAATCCATAAGGAAGGCCAGTGACCCAGTTGGGGGCCTACCGGATATCGGCATTGCTTTGGCTATTGCTATAGCTTATGATTTCATTTTCTTATTTCTGACCGCAGAAGGTTTTCAAATACATTTGATGGTCAGAATTAATAACAAAATGAAATCATAAGCTATAGCCATAGCCTAAGCAATCCCTATTAGTGCGGACATGGCGGATACCACATAGATTTGGTGCAGTGTTACCAGAAAGCCATTTCGCCTTCCCCCTAAAACTTACCCGAAATTCCCCCAAAATACACGTTTTTAAAGAAAAACCCCCCAACATGTAAAATATTTATTAAAAATACAATATTTACTTCATAATTTGTATTTCTGAAATAGCATTCATTACTGAATCAACATCTTCGCACGTGTCGTAGTGGCAAAGGCCACTCCTTTCTTAATCTTGGTGTATAACTTTATGTTGATAATGCCAAGGTTATCTTACTAAGGTGCAAACAATTAAAAGGGCAAATTTAAAAATTACGACTTAGCAAAGCAAAGATGATAGAAAGTGTTGAATCGATTTGCAGTTTAAGCTAACGACCACGCTAAGTGGGCTTTGGACTTAGGGGTTCTAATCGGGCTCACTGAATGAACACAGTTCATTAGGCCCGATTCTAGCATGATTGTCCAAGCCTAATAAAATTAAATTTGACAACAGCCTTTCTATGTCACGCTCTATAGAGCCCTACTATTCTGTATACAGAATGAGAAAGAGAGACTGTTGATTGACTGTTTCTCGCGACTTTTTACAGATTAAAAATTTATGAAGTGGGTTTATTTTTATACAAAATTTATATTTTGCCGTTTGCCCCAAACCCTAATTTCTTCCCTCATTAATGCCCCCATCGTTTTAAAAACCCCCCAATTTTAGGGGGAATCTCCCCAATCTGGCATCAGTGATTTGGTGATGCTTAAGACGACTGAATTATACTTATAGTTTTTCGCTCTTTTTTATTAATACATTTTCCTCTAACAGTAAAACATTAATAAGTATTAGATACATTTCGAAATACGACGCGGTAAACAGGTTTGACCTCAGTGATATGATGTATCATTTTCCTGTTATTTGCCATTCGCATTTTATCGAGTCTTAAATGAACTCATGAAATCCGAAGTTTACCTCTAAACAAGAGTAGTATTAATATTATGGTAATAGCAGTGTGACCGTGGCAAGACATAGACGTTTATGGTACCTACCTACATGTATAAAACAAAAATATAGTGTTTCGAAATGCATCGGAATGTATTGTTTGTTGTGATTAATCTGTTTGTGTTCATATGTAAGTACCTACTTAAGTTTCTTTGTTCTTAGTTCATAAGTTCAGTGTTTGCATACCTATCTACTTCATATGTTTTATGTACTTATTTATAAATAACACCCCAATAACTAACTTTTTATAAATGAATGATGTAGGTTTATTTACAGTGATATTCTTACTTTAATAATAAATAAGTAATGCCTGAGTCTCCTGATCGAATTGGGTGACAAAATGAGCAGAATAAAATAAAGGACTTAAATTAAAGCTGTAGTTGGGTACCTACTTATTTGAAGATTTAGCGTAAATTAACTTTATAGTTTGTCGTCACTTATCTACACATCTTTTGACTGATTTAATGTTTCCATATATTTTGAACACCGTTATTTCTCCAATAAATTACCAATATTCGAAGAAAGTCAAAACTTCGATAAAAGTTGTACAGTTTGTCACTAAGTACCTACCATAACATGCTCAAAGAATACCTAGTGTACCTAATAATTTAATTATTCTGAGATACCGATAATTTTGTTGTCTTTGTTTATAATTATAATGACGCTATTGGGTTATTCCCAAAGCGAAACAGAAAACACGCTTCGCACTTACAAGTATTGAAATAAAGTTATGTAACAAAATTTTCCTACTTGCTTGAAAGAAAAGTTCTATTAAAAATGTTATTCTTGCAATCAATCTTAATTTTTCATTATATACTGTCTTACAGATGCACAGCGGGATAAGAAATTCTTTCGTAAAGACTACACATACTTAGAGGAAACTGATAGTTTTTACAAAATACACACCATTCATAGGACCTGGCAGGATGCGAAGGCTGTGTGTGAAATGGAAGGGGCTACATTTTTTTACCCTGAAGATGAGGCAGAAGCTAATGCTGTGTTAGAATTTTGGAACAAAACACAACCATTTTCTTGGGTTTACATTGGAGTTTCAGACCTCCTGGTCAAGGGTGTTTTTGAGACAATAGACGGTAAGTTTAATTAATAGCTCATTTGATACCTATAACTTTTTGAACAGGTACTATAAGCGCAATTTTATTTTATTTTTTTCTTCCTTCATTTGGTAGTTTCGGGCCCTTTACGGGATCCGAAGTTGCAAGCTGAGTAGAGAGAAGGCTCCCACTTTTACCCGTTATAAAAGTATATAAATAAAATATGGCGTGTGTTAAATGAGAGAGAAATAAAGATACCTAAGCTATCTATCATAACATCTTTTGGTTTATTCACGGAAATATTGAAAAGATAAAAGAAGGCCATTGGCAGGATGAAGATGCTATTATAACTATTAGTTAGTTGTACCTAGATTAGTTGAGACTGTATATCTAGGGCTAGCAATTTTGTTTCGTTTAAGAATAATTATTTAATTAATCATAAGATTAGATAATAATCTAATTAAGTGAATTAGATTATTATAATGAGGCTTACAAAATTAATAGGATTTTGCATGTTTGACTGCAACACTGTAGAAATCCCGCCATTTTAATTTATCGATATTTTTTGTTGTATTCGTCACAAAGGAGTTTGAGTATTTGGGTAAAGTTGCCGTCGGTTTCAATTCTGGCGACCACTCATAAAGGTTGTTAATGAAAGAGCAATATACAACAAAGTTTTCTTACTATGGAAATGGAATAAAAATCTCTATGTTATAGATGTAGTAGTGGTTTTCAATCAACTAATTCTTGTTAAGTTGATTGAACACCACTAGGTCATTAGGTACTAAGTGCACGTTAAGCCGTTGGTCCCGACTACATCTACAGTCGTTAGCACCAACCAATTCAGACTGGGTCCACGTGGTCATGGGTCGAATTCCCTATGCCATCGTTCCAGCAGTGAGGACATTAATAGGCTGATAGTTCAACCGCATTGGTCTTCAGATTTATATTTCTTGGTCTACAGGTATTCCAATATCAGACGTGTACAGCAAATGGGATGCTGGTGAACCCAACGACCACGGTGGTCAAGAAGACTGCGTGAATTTCAGACGCAACGGCTTTCTGAACGATGACAATTGCGACAAAAAATATCCTTTCATATGTAAGAAGAAACGTAGCATGCTGGAGTGGAACCAGTTCTGTTTTATACCAAATATGGGTAAATACTAAATCAGATTGTTTTATTATTATTTTAAGCATTTATCTGCTATATTTGTATGATGCCTGGAAAGCGTGGATTTTTTTCTAGTAAAATTTTCTTTAGGCCAATTCAAGATATAACAAATTTCAACGGGTTCAGAATAATCTGACGACGCATTCCTACTAAGTATGCGAAACGTCAATAAATAAATAAAATCAGTGCATATAACCCGTTGAAACTTGTTTTATTTAATGAGTGATGTGCGTAGAAACCTAAGAAACAAAATAAGAATAGTAGAATTAATGAATATAGTGGCCATATGACAAGAGGAACTTAATGGCACAATGGTAAGCGTGTTTAGATCGTGGAAACTCAGGAATTTTCTCAATGGCCGATCACAGAATGGGTTACCAAAAAATATCGTTACACGTTAAACTGCTCATTTCGGTAGTTGGTTGAAATAATAACTAGACCATTGAGTACCTAGGTATCTAAGTACGTCTATCAGCTACTAAAGTAAAAAAATATGATATTTTTTTTTGTTTAATAGTACCCAGTTGCAGTTTTAAAAAGAGTTTGATGGAAACGGATTTTCCGCTCTAAGGAGGAAGAAAAATTTTCCTCTGAGGTAATAACCTCCTCCGTTAGGAAAGACCACAATGATATAATACGGGATATTTTTAAATGCACAGCAAATAGCTTTTTACCCATCCAGTTATTTACAGCAATTAAATACTTTTTACATCAAAATATTTATTTTACTGCAAACAAAACATTTGTTGAACAAAACTAGTGCTGAAAATAATTCAAAAATATACATCTAATCTGTAACCCTATAAGCACGAACCATTATCGAATTCGAATAGATTGCAAACTGAAATGTCAATGTCAAATTTTGTATGGAAACTTGAACAGCATGCAGCAGCGGCACAAAGAACGTAACGAGAACTAAAAATCAGTACACATTTGACAATGACATTTCGGACTCGCAAACGATACAAATTCGATATTGGTTCGTGCTAGGGCACTGTAGTAACAAAAAACTTGTTTAATTGTACAAAAATATGGTTTTCATATCAAATATACTGATTACACAGCAAATATACTGATTACACAGCAAATATACTGATAACACAGCAAATATACCGATAGCATAAAAAATTAACCAATGCTTCGACGCAAAATACTCATAACAAAACACCCTTTTTTGGTACAGGTTTCCCATTAAGCATTTCAAAACTTGTTCAATATTTTGGCACTATTAATGGTTATAAAAATTAAGCGAGTGTGCTTATGGCCACACGACTGAAGTGAAACTTATTTAGCTCCAATGATCTGAAAATCAAAAACTTAACTGAAGATTTGTTGATAAAAAAAAAACACCAATCCGCGGTGAGTCCATTATCACCCACCAATCCGAGCTGGGTTCGTTATCACCCACGAATCCGCGCTGGGTTCATTATCACCCACCAATCCGCACTGGGTCCGTTATTACCCACCTATCCGCACTGGGCCCATTATCACCCACCAAGCACTAGATTCATGTATTTTGTGACGGGTATTGTTCATTGTTTACCAATGAGTCACCAATGACACTAATTGTAACGCGAAATCGTAACACATTCGCCAGTTTATCCCCCAAGTCGAGCGTGCCTAAAGAAGTTTTACTGCAATAATTAGATTCTTATGTCAATTAAAATGGTGTTTCACTAAGGTAAACTGCTTTATGAGATAAAAGTATAGCAGCTTTGTTTAAAAAAAATGATGTAATATATTTGTTGTGAGGTGGTTATTATTAGCTATGCATTCTTAAAAAAGCTTTAGTTTTCAATAAATAGTGATGCATCACGAACTTAAATTGTTACTAATACGAGTATAACAATATTTTGAGGTGACTATTTTGCTGTGCAATAAGTATTTTTACTTAGGATTATTTTTATATAAAATTTGTTTGAGAATATAATACTACCTTATTTAGGGTTGATTTTGTGTTTCTGTCAGTAAGTGAGGTTTCCCGAATTCCATGGAGTAGAGCATGAGTAGGGATGCAGTCTTTTGAAATATCGATATTTATATCGAAGTCGGGTAAATATCGTAATCCGATATATCGACTATGTGAACGCGATAATATCGATAATTTTATTTACTGTTTTATAGCTCTGTAATAAGTAGGGATGCAGTATTTGCAATATTGACAATTATATCAAAGTCAGATAAATATTGATTGATATATCGATCATGTCAACGCGATATTTATCGATATTTTCAGTATCATTACAGTATCCGTAACGGTAGCCTTTGTTTTTTAAGCATATAACTGCTAGATATTTAAATATAAAAAAAACACAAGAAAATAATCCACGAGGATCAGACAGCAGACGAGATTCGAACCTGTGGTAAAATAAGATGGTATAGAGCTGAAGTATAGTAAAATATGAAATAAAAGTTACAATATACGTGTAAACAGGAAAGTCTATTGTTAACAAGTACGTCAAAATTTTACATCTAATATTTACAAAGTGCCATCGTTAACTTTAAGCATAGAATTAAGATTGTAGCAACCAGTATTACAACCGAACCCGCAGCTTCCGCTATCCGGGCAGATGCACTGACTACTATGCTTTTGCGACCCTTATTGTCTGTGATGAATTTTATTAGGCTGCAGCCTAAGAAATGCTAGAGAAAATTCGGCTCAAAATAAACATAATAGAAGGTAATCTACATACAAAGTGCGCTCGAGCAACTTACACATGGAAACCGCTCACGGACACGATATCTCGAACCACTTCAGACTACTACAAGCGCGGGTCCACCCGTTTGAGACACGCGTCTGTGAACATTTCTTTTTGCAAAAATGGAGGAACTAAAAACAAGTTAATATATCTGTTCAGTAGACGATTGTTTGACCTCAACATTAAGTGGTGAATTGTATTCATTCCCCATTCCCCAATCTCACGGGAGATTTTTCAAAATGTGGGTTTCTTACGTAAACGTGTTGGATTGTTATTGTAAAAAGAAAAAAAAATGCTTTGTGCTTTTATTTACGACTAGTTGAGACTAGTAATCAATATTGCTGACAATTATTTCTTACGAACGAATTAGTGAATGATCTTTATCGTATTACGATTACGCTTAAGATTAAATCTTGAGTATGTACAATCTGGATTAAATGGACCAATATAGTATTTTTTTTGTTTCAATCAGAACAAAAATTGCGTGATATCTGCCGAGACCCCCCCTCTCTCCAACGTAATATATATTATATGAGATTTGTCTAACCCTCTTAAACATCTCACGTATTTTATGGACGCCCCCTAACTAGCTAAGTTGCCACTTTTTTACATAATACGTAGTATCACAGCGATCACACGATCGCCAAATTTCTGATAAATGTTGATATCGGTGTGCAGATCCTTGGGGTAGGACTATGCTCAGCAGTGGGTGTCGCACGGCTGATATGCTGATGTTTTTTTTCCATATTATTTTTATTCAGTTATTTCACAATTTGCCCTTTAACTAAGTTATTCTTATTCATATTGTAAAATGTTTAATAATATACTGTCCGTGCTCGAGGCTGCTATTTGATACAGGGGCGCGGGCAGAAGTCAGAAAGAGAAAGCATAGAAGGATAGTAAAGATAAAAGAAGGTATGCAAGAAAATAGGGAGGTGAAAAACGAAATAGAGAAAAGTTAATTATACACTTTTAAACGTATAAAGTCACAGAAATAATATTATGCTTTGTGAGCGTGCGTTGCGTTAGGCGGGACACGGAGCGAGCACCAGCTCGGCGCGCTTACTTCATGCCACAGAACAATATACTCTCTACGAGAGCTTCATGCCATTTCATTTCATAGAACTGCGCCACGTGAGGTAGGTCTTCACCAAATGCAAATGACACAAAAAAAACGGCAAGGCCCGCGCCCGACGCCCCGCCCAAGGTACCGCAGGCTCTAATAGTGCAACATTCATGTACGTTATATTGTGATGCTAATAATTTAATTGCAGTGCCTAATTAAAATTATAATATCTAGTTTGGTGGGTGATATTAGTAAAATATTTCGTGTTTTCACTAACGATGTCCACCAGAGCTAATCATAATAACTAAGTTTAATAAGAATCAGGTTAATGTTTATCGAGAAAGAAATGTTCTAATCCGTCTGAGATGTACATACTATTTAAGCGATTTTCTCCAATGGAAAGGAAGAATCGGTCATTTTAAAAACCTCTAAAGTCACACAATTAGAGTTTTTCAGGATTTTTCGTCACGGGTTGTCACGGATGAAACGACAATTACAGTAACAAAGAAATGAGGGGCAGTGTAAGTTCTCATTTTTAGACCACTTTTGTTATCTATCTCAAAATCGAAACCAGTTAAGAATGATAAATTTGATGATGTCCCACATCCTATTTAAACAACAAATACTAAAAACGCTTCATAACGTACATTTTTGAATTGAAAACTTCTTTAGTATCGTTGTGACTTAAGATTCGATGAAACGGAAGTAGAGTATTTGTCACAATATAGGTATCCGTAATTTTGTCGTTTACTAGTGGCTCGCCCTCGCTTCGCTTCGGTGAAGAGCTGTAGTGTAGGTAGACTAAAGTTTTTGTTCTCAGACTTGTATTATACCTACACAATGAATTTCTTTATATAATTATATTTATTTTTTGAAGGAATTTAAGTATGTATAGAATATTTTTATTTTGCCCGGTATTTTACAATACCTGAATAGTTGAGTATTAAACCTTTGGTAGGTGCCTAAGTTTCCAATGTTTGCAATTTTATTTCACAGTATTATTTTATAAATATATATTTCGAAAAAAACCCAAGATAAGAATAACATAACAAAAGAAATAGATTGGGCTTCGTACCGCCTCCACTCGTGTATACCAAGGCATAGTGGGAGTTTGCTTGGGCCCCAGTGTTGTACGTGTGTTAGTCAACGATATTAAATACCCTAGATACACCACGTGCGCTCGAAATGTGTCCCAATCAAGAAGTGCTTGAACATCACTC